CTGGGAAAAGCATTTCTAAGTAACTAAAAGTATAATAGTTTTGTTGATGGATAAACGGTTAACCTACTAATCTCTTCAACACTATTTAATATATCTGCACAAATATCCAGATACATTAGGATCTGCACCAGTCGATATCAGCTGTATTACCCTACAATAACACCCAACAAAGATATCTATCAGACAGAGAGAAAGCAGACGCTATTACAGACGGTCCATTTGGCGAAGGAGAGGAGCGCTGGCAGAGCCGATCAGACATCGACTCCTCTTAAATCCGTGCCAGCTTCTTCCAAAGGTCATAATACACACAGAGCTGTTAGGAGAGGCAGAACAGATGCTCTTTGTAATGACTGTATATTTTCATTCGGTCCATTTGGCTGCACACTGTTACAGTCGATGTTGAATGTGAGCTGTTGTCAGGTCCGTGCCTGCCTGGTAAAGTGGGTACGACGGGCAGCAGAGATAGAGAGCAGAGCAGGGCTGCATTTCTGAGTGACGTGGAAAATTTCCCCACTCACCTCACACTCTCTGCTTTAGTTTAATACAGAGGGAAGGTCTGCTGAGTATCACACTGAGCTTTTTGCTACTGCAGTGTGTGTGTGGTTGTGTGTGTGTGTGGTTGCATATTCACAAACTTATAGAAAGTCAAAAAAGTTTGGAATCACCTGTTATATTTTCTTCTTTCCTTCAATAATGGATATTTTAACACAGATAAAAACAGTGTTCAGACACCAAATTTATGATTTACATTTGAAATAGTTTTGGGCCCAAAAGCAGAATAATTAAATTATTAAAACTTCCATTTATTGATGTCTTTTGTGGCGGGTGATTTCAAACTTTTGAACAATTTGGAACCGTAGCTTCAGCCTGGATATAGTCGATCAACATCATCTGCTTCTGTCATGCTCCACCGCCAGTGGCAGTGGTGGAGTTAAAACTAAGGATCCGATTGAGTCAATAAAGTTTAATTCTGCCGAAGTGGATCAGTTAAAAAATGCCTTGAGAGTGCCAGATAGTTCCCTCTAATTCCAGGCTTTATACTAAGTTGAGCTTATTTCCCAAATACGAAGAACTGTGACCACAACTTCTACGGTATGTGATGGTGACGCTGTTCGTAAATTTAACATATTATTGATCATCCTGTTCTGACATTGTGTTGTTTCTGTATTTAACAGCAGAACAGATTTATCAATATATACAGCTACAAATATATACTGCAAATATTTTGCAGTTTCTTTTAAAAGCAGTTCAATCAGTCAAAATGTATCACTCTAACTTCTCAAACATCTCATATTTATCTTCTCAGATGGTCACAAACAACTTTATGTGTTTATTTTCTTTCAAAACTGGATTTTGAACTTAAATTTAAAAAATAAATATTTAAACCATTGAAAAAAATGACAGAAATGAATATATCTACATACCATCCACCACATTTTGAAGTTGAAAGAGGCAAAAGATGTCACATTTCTTATGCAAGTTCTTGTTAAACTGGTCAAATAATAACAGTTTTACAGTGTGGAACCTTTTGAGAAGAACTTCATGTTAAAGTTGTATCTCAAGCGTGTGTCCTTCGTTGTAGGAGACCTATTTCGGTGTGTACTTCATGTCTTCGACTGAGCTGCTGCAGAACACTTCAGTCCTGGCTGTGCTTCTCTTCCTGGCTCTAATCCTGCAGAGGACCTTCCTGCAGGCCTCGTACTATGTCACCATAGAAACAGGCATCAACCTGCGGGGAGCCCTTCTGGTGAGTGAAACGTCACGGAAATGTAATTGGATGCTTTGTTTCCACACGAGGTGTCGCTTTTTAAAGGCCCGCGTGAGTCATCTCCCTTATGCTTCAGAATCCAACGTTTGGTTTCGCTGATACAGATTTATTTCACCCTCATGCAAACAATATCCACCTGAGCTGACAGCAGATCATTTAAAATGCTGCGAGTTTACAGCTACACAGAGGTTTTATAGCGGCTTGTGTTCTGCAGTATGAAACTTACAAACCATCCAAACTGACTTTTGAAGACACACAGAGCAACTTGAGAGATCTGAAGTAAATAACCAGTGAAATGTTATCAAAACATGCAGAGCATATTTCTACATAATTCAGCTGTGTCAGTCATAAATTTATTTAAATGAATCACTCAGTCGGGGCAGAAAAGCCTCTGGTATTTAAACCATGGGACTCGTCACTCAAACCCAGGATGCTACACTTGCTACTACTACTGAATGTAATAATAGAAACCACTGCATTAAAGGTAGGGTAAGCGATTCTATGTGATGTGATTCTAATCAAATACAAATTTTCTTTCTCAAATTCAGCGAATATCTCCTTAAGGTACGCTAGCTTTCCACTCTGTGTGTTCGCTTTGGTTCAATTTGATTTGCCAAAAAGTAAACTTCCGACCCTGGTTACAGTTCTTACCGCTTCGTTGTTCGCTCTGTATCAAGGTGTTTGTTAAAGTATTTGATTCCTCCAGAGGCGCATTCAGACAGACAGCAGTGCCCTTTCATTAATTCAAACAGGACTGCAGTGTTTGTGCTCAGCGTTAAAGCTAATCTTACATCTCTGTCTCATTAACTAGGCGATGATTTACAACAAAATCCTGCGTCTGTCCACCTCCAACATGTCTATGGGGGAGATGACGCTGGGGCAGATCAACAACCTGGTGGCTATAGAGACCAATCAGCTGATGTGGTTCCTCTTCCTCTGCCCCAACCTGTGGGCCATGCCTGTACAGGTAAGGGCTGAATGGGAACCTTCACACATTTCTGGACATATTTAATCTCATGAAGCGAGGCGTCAGTGAAGACTTCTTGTGTTTTGTTTCTTTGCAGATCGTAATGGGAGTGATCCTGCTCTACTACTTGCTGGGTTGGAGTGCCCTGGTTGGAGCATCTGTCATAGTCCTGCTGGCACCAGTCCAGTACCTCATAGCTACAAAGCTGGCGGACACACAAAAAAGCTCACTAGTAAGCAGGATACTTGTGTAACCATATTCCATGCAGACTTTTAACTGATTGTCATTAAGTAAATCCATTATTTTACAGCGGTTGGTAACAATTTAGCCCCGTAGTGTTTGTTGAATATGGGATAGATTAACACACGTTTTATCCTCTGTTGTCTCTGTCAGGAACACTCTACAGATCGACTGAAAAAAACCTCAGAGATCTTAAAGGGCATCAAGCTGCTGAAGCTGTATGCCTGGGAGAACATCTTCTGTGATAGCGTGGAGGAGACCAGAGGAAAGGAGCTCACCAGCCTCAAGACCTTCGCTTTCTACACATCTATGTCCAGTAAGATGAAAACAACTGAGTTTAAACGATTGCATTTGCGTGTGATTACAGATTTTACTTCATATGACTGTTTTCTACTTAAAGTTTACTCTTTCTTTGCAGTTTTCATGAATGCCGCTATTCCCATTGCTGCCGTTCTCGCGGTAAGACAATTTTACCGCATACTGCAATGAAGGCAATAATTTATGAATTTATAACTGTTTAAAACGTTTTTTCTTTTTCTTCAACCATAATATGAATTGTCAATATCAACACTGCCCTACAAAGGTTAACTGCAGTAAATAAAACCAAAATAATTTTTTTTTGACTGTCCAGCCAAATGCGTTTTTAGGTAGAACTGCGTATTAAATATGTATTCTCCAACCTATTCACCCAAAACTGGAGATACTGTACTCTGTCTCTGTGTCACCATAAACAGATATATAAGTAGTGCAAAGGCAGAGTGCAGTAAAAAAAAAACTAAATCTAATTTGTATTTCTTATTGTTTCATGTGTAAAAAGTGAAGAGTAATGACGAATTTAAGTATTATTTTGTGAGGTTTAACCTATGATGCATTTATTTTGAACAGTAATACCTTGTCCTGTCTAGCTAGCTAGCGCTGTAATATCCGAACTATTGTTACGATCTACAACAATCAGTTTAGCTAATAATACACAGATGAAGTCAGTAAGAGTTCCCAGTGGATAACATGTTTTAATTCCCTACATTGTCCTGAAATTGTCTAGAATACAGGATTTACAGACTTTGAAGCCGCAGTAACTGCAGCCAAAGATCTGAGAAACCGAGGGAGAGCACACTAACTGCAGAATAAGTGGTTTTTAAATGGTAACATTTAAAGAATCTTGTCTCATAGACGTTCGTGATGCATCACTTCCTCAATAAAAGCGGTCCCAGTCCTTCTGAGGCCTTCGCAGCTCTAGCGTTGTTCCACATCCTGGTCACCCCTCTCTTCCTGCTCTCCACCGTTGTCAGATTTGCTGTCAAGGCTCTGGTCAGGTAAGTGTCTGTGATAGCGTACAACAGTGCTTTATGTTGTGTTTAGTTTGATTGTGAAGAGATCGACTGTTACTGGCTGAGAAAGAGGGGGATGTGACTAAACAAGGAAGACAAACTGGAGATGCTGTGTCACAAACTGGATGTGGTTCCAGTGGTAAATCTAATTAAAGGAACATGGAGGAAACCTGACAGCAGTGAAGAGAAACTCTAAACTCCTGAGAGATTACTGGTATTGGTTATCGTCACAATCACACTTATTCCTGGATTGAATGTGTGCATATGTGTGTGTGTCTGTGTGTGTGTGTGTGTTCACAGTGTCCAGAAGCTTGGTGAGTTCCTTCAGAGTGACGAAATTGAAGACGACAGCTGGAGAAATGGAGACATGACGGTTTCGTTCGAAGCTGGAAAAAAAAACCCGGGAATGGTGAGTGTTGATATATAAATAAAACTGAACTCAGTTTATATTTAATAGCAAGATTTTACAGAGAAACTGTCTTTATCTAACAGTCTGGATTGTATTTTTGTTGATTTAGCCACCACTTTCAGAGCTGATATCTGCAGATGCAACAGCAAAGCTGGACACAGCAGTCAGCAAAGGGTCAAACGGTTTTTTATTGTAACCAAATTATCTAAAACACCTCTTTTGTATTTTAGAGAGACAATCGACCAGTTAGCAGGTCAAAGCTACATAAATCTTATGCTATAATGTATGGGAGGTCTCCAAATGTCTCTGAAAAATGAAAGGATGTTGACATCAGACACTTTAAACTTGGGACTTTTTCAAAGCGTCATTGCTTTTTTTGAAGAACTCCAAAAATGTATTAATAAAATGCAACCATAACTGATCAAAAAAATAACACCCAGGTAGTCGAAAAAGGACATTTTCCTTTAGTGTATTATATAATTAAGACCACTTGTTTGAACTGGTGTCTGTTGTGTTCATTGGGGACATTTTCTCTGCAATCAGGAAGTCAAACTTACTTTGAAAAAGCAGCAAACATCTCCTGAAGTCAATGATTGTTGCAAGTTTTCTTCTTTTTACTGTCCTCAATTTAGATCTGAGGCAGTTCACACAGGCGTCACATCAACTGACTGCTGGTTAAAACTGTAAAAAACGAATCCAAACATTTATCCTGTATTTAAAACAGATGGCGTTATCAAAGCACACTAAAGGTGCCAAGAAATCGCTTTAATGTGCTGAGTTAAACAGCTTGAGCTTCCTCGTGGACAGGGTTTGGATCAATGTGGCGAGCCAGACGACCAGCACACATTCCTTCCATGTTACTGCAGGTAACTCGTGTCAGGTTGCTCTAGCAGGATGTTGAGGGACGTTGTATAACGTCAGCCCTCAGTCCTTCTGGGACAAGATACTAATGAGCAAGGACCAGATCCTCCGAGGAATATTCACGTATTTAGACAGTGAGGATGAGCAATGACGCACGGTTATTGTGACTAGCAGCAGGTCCTCGAGGTCGTGCAAATTAATTTTGAGAAATGAGAAAAAGGAAACCCAGTCAGCATTGTTTAAAAAGACGTTTATCTATATTAGAGTAATAAAAAAAGACGTTGAGAGAGACAGTTGGTTTACTATAAAAAAAAATTCTAAAAGCTGTGCACAAGTCAAGAAACATCCAGTTCCTTTAGTGCTCATCAAACCAATTCTGAATTTAAAGAAGTCAAACTGATCCCTCCTAAAGGTCTACAATACTATATGACTGCACTGACTCTGCCAATGCAGACATTTGTCGAATCGTAGTGTTCAAATGTCACACAATTTTACTTGAATTTCAAAAACAATGTGCCATTTTGGTTCAGAATGGGCTGTGATTGGCTCGTCACATTGCTGCAGTATAACACAGAACACAAAATCAAGTAAACGTTACTGAGCAGAGTGGCAGTAGTTAGTTAAGACGTCTATCCGTATGTTCTTTCTGCCTGCAGCTAGCCATTGTTGTCCTTAGGTTGTGAGCGTAGAACATACGGGTTAATATCGAGTGATATTCACATCAAATGTTGCTTTACTCGTATTATATGTCATATTAATTCCTCAGGACTAATTGTTATGTTTTGTTGAGTGTGTGTGGAGGGGGGTTTAACAGACCATCACCACCCAGTGAACTGCAGCCCAGACTTTAATCTTGTGTCTGTCTGAGGTTTCAGTCACATGGTGACTATTATGTTGCAGTGGGATTAACACTGTTTGTGTCTAAAATGGTCAGAACACGAAGCCGAGTGACTCACAGAACTCTTTAGAGGTTTAATGGTTTTCAAATAGGATTGTAAACACAACATATTCCTTTATTTTATAATTGAATATATTCTTCAGTAGCTGCATTCAACAGTGTTGGTTTTAGAGCTGTGTAATCTACTTAAATGCAAACATTAATATTGGGTTTAAGTTTTTTTGGTTGTCATTTTCATTATTTTATTACTTAATGTGAAAGCCCCATTTGCAGCCATTTTGTAGCAGCTGCTTTATGTCCCTTTTATGATGCCATTACAAACTCACTCAAGTGGTAAAGTGGTAATTTCTCATTTTTTAAAGTTTGGCCACTGTTGCGGTTTTATTATACTGTTCTTTTCCGCAAGATTACTAAATCAATCAAACACTGTAGCAAGTAATGTGAATTTTCTTCTTTCTGCTTGAGTTTCTGCACAATATCCTCCGCTCAGCTATCAATACTTCACCACTTCCTGTAGACTTTTCCAAAGAAAGGGCCATTGCAGACAGGGTGTTAACAGCGAATGTAGAAGATGACATGTACTGGATTTACTGCAGGTTGAAAAACTGTTTAATAAATCAGATTTTTGCCTCTCCTTCATTGAGGCCTGGTGATTCCAGTGTATATATATGAACATCAGTATTCATGCTCTCCAGAGAATGATTCCTTTGGATTTTGTTGACTCACTGAGGTTTCATCTGGCTCCTTGTGTCAGATGAAAATGTTCCCATGACAGCACTTTGGTCACTGACAATGAAACATAGTGATTTCTAAATGTAGAAACATGAAACTAAATATTTCTGGACACGAAGTTATTTGAACTATGTAAATATTTTAGTTTTTGAGATATGCTCATTTTTACTTTGATTTTTTAGCCGCACTTCTCCACCCACAGCCAGTCAGCTAGTGCCGTCGCTAAGTGCACAATGCTCTAGCTATTATAGTTGTTATTTTAGATAATTTTAAACAGGATAATGTAAAAAAATGGCTGTCTGGAAGAATATTCATGCTCCCCAGAGGATGAATGCTGTGTATTTTATTTAATATTATAAACCCTGAATCATCAACTTGCTGTTTGTTTCTCTAGAGTGGCTGCAATGCTGCGTACCACTGCCTGTTGTTTTCTATGCAAACCAACACCTTTTTTTACCATATCATGCAGCCTTAATGTGCACTAGCTCGTCAGGATGCTCCACTGTCTTCTGTTTTCCAGCCTTAACATGCACCACTGCCCCATAATAGCAGCAGTTTCATTACATCTCCCCCTGCACTTCCTGCCTACTGTTCCCTGACTGCTTCCCTCAGATGTAAGCTTCAGGCGTCTGATCGCTTGTGGCAAGTGACTCGATGCTACGTGACATATCCAGAGCAACCTTCAGCCTTGCTACTTATACAACAAATTGCTGATGTTGGGGTGCAAATTATGTTGCACACTGAAGTCAGTTGTAGAAGATAACAGGACTCCACATGAAGTACAAAGGCACTGATGTACAGTATGTTTGTATGTATAGTGTGTCTGGATGAGAGGAGGATAAGACGCTAGCAGTGGGATTGAACCCTCTGGGCCAACGTCCTCTAGGCTTGTATCAGAGGGAACCCCCGCGCTTGTTCCTCTTCTCCCCAAGGAACCAAAGCGGATGCAGGAAAGTCTTGAGTTTATTAGCTAATACTAACTTCAGATCTGTCTCTCTTTCAAAATCCCCCTCAAGACCAAAGCCCATAACAGGAAGAAGCCAATGCGCTACCAGATGGACAACTACGAGCAGCCGACCAGGCGACAGATGAGACCCACGGAGACAGAGGATGTGGCTGTAAAGGTCAGGGTTGCAAGTTCACATGTTGGGGAAGGGTTGAAGGAAAGAGAAAAGTATGAACTCTCAAAGACACCAGGGACATAACTACCAGAGGCCAAGGTTAACAGTTCAACAGATATATGGTTTTAGACTTACACGTAAAAGAAACTGCCAGCGGTATTGCACCATAAACAGGGCGTTCTGTGGTCTTCTCAGCAGAAATGGAGAGGTCTTACAGGACTGAAGGACTTCCCAGAAAGAAAGTGTATTTATTTAACATCAGGGATCCCACATGTCCTGGAAAACCTGGAAATTTAGATATGAGTTTTCCAGTCATGGAAACACCTACAAATTGATTAGAATGAACAAATGTGTCATAAATAATATATGTTCACCTGGATATTTTTAATTTTATTTGTTAAATAATTGTGATGCCGCCAAATTAATATTACGGTTAGAAGAAAACTTTAGTCAGTAGACCTTTTTCACANNTTTTTCACAGCAGCCATTTTGACATGAAGTAGTAGGGTAAACACAGGTGTTACCAGTTATGGTTACCTTCTGTTCAGGTCAATAATCATTGTGTTTGTAATAATCAAACCCCAGAAAATGGAAACATCAGCTGTGGGGAGAACAGTCAAGTCAAGTGAGCAAGTACTGTCTTGTACTGTCAAGAAAAACTGTAGAGAATGTCCTGGCAAATGTCCTGGATTTCTTAACCATTTCTTAAAGAGCTCCAAACATGTTTCAGAAACCTTCGTCTTGATTTGAGACTGATTCACTTCCAAGAGGCTTTTCTATGTGAGACACTGAGGCAGGGGATTAGAGGCAGACGCATTCAGGAACGATGAACTCAGCTTTCCAGACCGCCGCCTGGCACTTGTGCGCTCCCCTCTTAGCGATTACGTGTAAGGAGACCTTTGGGGATAGACAAGTTTAGGTACGGAGGAATGGGTTGCCTGTTTTCATAGAAATGGAGATAGAGGAGGGGAGGATTTATCAGAAGAAAAAAACATGAGAATGTAAAAGCAAGATATAAATATTATTACTAATTTTAAACAAAGAATAGCAGATTTATCCAAACGCAGCGGGAGCAGAGACTGTAGTCCCCTCTACCCCCCAAAAAAATAAGGTAAAAAAACAAACACAGTGGTTGTTTTCTTCCTTTTTTAAATGATTATCACACAAAAAACTTATTTAGCTGAACGTAAAAACATGGACAGGGTGCCATGGCTTTCCTTGACAACTGTGCACACCTAGAGGATGGACAATATCAGCTTTTCCTTTAATTACACCTTTAATTATATGTAAGCACAGATGCTTTGTTCTACTGATATTTCTGTATTTATTATAACACAAGCTCTTGCATCCTCCATATGAGGAGGTCATTAGCACTCACACATACAGAGACACGACGGAACTGCTCCCTAATACCTTCATCTATTTATCTCTATCAACAGCTGGTTCACATCTTCACTGTTTGTACATGGGTCATTTGTGGGTGCGTGGAATCATACATGTGACGTGTGTGTGTGTGTGCTCTCAGGAAGTGTAGGATTCACACGAGAATTTGTTGCCCCTTAAAGGGCCTTGTGGATGTGTCCAACATTTTCTCAGCCCCTCTGTGAAGGCTGCTCTTCCGGCCTCATCCCTGCGGAGTGACGCTACCGACCAGACGGTGGTCCGCTAATTAATGAGAGAGAGATAGAGAGAGCAGTGGAATACACTGAGGGCCCTATCTTGCACCGATTGCAGTATCATTGCTTACATCCACGTGTACGTTGTAAAGCAAATGTACTTAAATCTTAAAATGGGATATGGTTATGTGCGTTTTAGCGCATTTGTATCTTGAGGCCGAAGAGAGAGATTGACCATTAAAAACCTGGTCTAAAGACATTTTCCTGCTGTAGTTTTCTGCTATTTAAATTGTATTGTTCAGATAGTAAGATGCGTACACTCTGCACACACAGTAGTGCTTACCTCCTTAGTTAAACACGGTGCATTTGCTCATTATGCAATCAAATGGAGTTGTGGATTTGGAGACAGCGGAGGCAGAGGACCATATACCTGTCCTTCAGCGAAGAGTGCTGTTGGATGGGTTTGAGCTCAGGTCTGTGTGCAGGTCATTTAAGTTCAGGGTTCCCACCCGTCCTGGAAACCTTGAAAACTTGGAAATCCATTTCCAGTCGTGAAAACACCTGGGAATTGATGAAAATGACCAAATATCTTCTTTTTTTTTTCATTTCTGCTCCCATGATTTTCTGTAAAATAAACAAATTTTCTCCTTGATTTGAATTGTTATTTATGGGCTGTGGCCAAATTCATGTTTTGGTTAGAGGAAAATTGTATAAACTAATTCGCTAATGTCCCATAAACGCTGACCACCTACGGCTGACCACTGGTTGTGAGCACTTGCTGTCCTGTATTGTCAAGAAAAACTATTATAGAAAAATGAAAAGAGTGGGAACCCTGAATTTCTTCCACACCAAACTGGGAAAGACATTTCTTTCTCGTCCTGGCTTTGTGCACAACGGCGTCGCCTTCTTGGAACAGGAAAGGTCCGACCCTGAAATTGCATATAGTGTGTTACTGGCAGCAAATAAAGCTGCTACGCGTGTTTTCCAGTGGTCATGAAAAGTCATGGTACTAAATTTCTCCCAACATGGATTTATTGGATGTCTTGCATCTAATGTAGTTATAGATAATGGTTCATGCTTTATTTTATAGCTACAGTAAGTCAACTACTGAGCCAGAGGCCTCATAAAATCAGTTAAACTGTGGACCAAGGGCGGATTTTATCTCTAATTCATCAGCTTTCTGACGTTTTTAGGATGAAGTTGTGCAACTTCACAGCCAACTTCGGGTACAGATGTAACATTGAGGATTAAACTGGGTGTTGTTCCCCATTAATTGTAAGGATATAAGTCTTAATATTGATGATATAGGTTTGATTTTGTTTGAGTTTGTTTCACATGTTGACCTCAACCATGTGGCATTACAAGTAGCTTGTGAACACAACTCTTCCTGCAGCTTCTTACATTTAACCGTTCTTTGAATGTACCACAGTGAAACCCATGTTTCTTTATTTTCATGTTTCACTCCCCGTCTTCCGTATCTCCTCTCCACTTCCATTTTCCTTCCCTCCCCTGTTCTCTTTCTGATAGTATCTGATTTTGTTTTTCCATTTTTGTATCTCATCCTGCTTTTATTGTTTCTTTCTCAGCAGCCGTGACACCAGTCTGTGATTTACGACATCCGAATCACTTGATTTGAGTAGGATGCAGATGCCTGGCTATCGTTTTTAGTCATTACTTAATCACTCAGTGTAAGAAAATCAAACCAATAACAGCTACCTGTGCTCAGGAAGCTTATATATCTTAAGATAAACCGGAAACATCTGAGGAGATACCCCTAGTGTCTGAACCACTGAGACAAACTGAATTGAGTTCCTATTGAATATTTGCTTACAAAGGAACAAAGATGTTTTTATCTCTAAGATGCCTTTGAGGATCTGTGTCGTGGGGAGAAAGGAACAGTGGAGGAAAGGCTCGGGGAAGTGGGGGTGGGG